ATAGCTCTAATACATGAATTAAAGGCTTCTATTAAATAAAATGAAGACATGTATATTAAATAAAGTTTTATATAGAATGGAAAAAAAATCATCTGATACTTATTCGCTTGTACTAAAATGGATGCACAAAACTGAACTAGAAGTAAATGATTTATGAGTATTTTAAGACAAGGGTAGAACCGCATATCTAAATATACTAAACCTATATATGTATGTAAACATTTTCCGTTTGACAAATTTATCAATCTTGTTTAATTTTCAGGTAAAATAAGAACTTTTTCGATAATCAGATGAAGAAAAATGTATAAAAATCACGTTTTTTATGAAATAAAATAAATAAACAATTTCTATATAATTTTCAACTACATATTATTTCAGAGCACTCAAAAATGAATAACTTTGCTATTTGAACTTTTGCTGTATCTATTATGCTTTCGAAGATATCAGCGAAAAACGAAAAAACCACAGATTTTGAGGAATTAATTTCACCCCTTAAATATGCAAGTGGGCAGCTCATTTTTTTGTGAGGGTTTATACTTTGATGTGAACTACAAAACGTAATTTTTTCGACCCAGGTTGTGGGGGTACAGGAAGGTGACCTTCCTTGTAAGTAGATTCCAATGCTTGGACTGCGATTTTGGAAAGTTGAACAACGTTTAACTTTTCATAACAGCGACCTAGTAAAAAGATGATGGCAACTCTACTTCACATCATAGTTCATGTTTGAAATAAATTTTGAATTCGGCATCAGACGAAATATGTATAGCCCGTGGTATAGCCCCGTTGTATGTTATATGCATTGTAACGTGACAAAACGATCAGCTTCTTAGTACTCCTGTACTGAGAGCGCACCCGTTACAAAGGGACGACAAGGACGCGCGGCTAGTGTCAACACTAGCCGATAAATGAAAAACGTCTCCCGAAAGTAAATCCGCGGAAAGTAGTATCAAAATAATCCGATAGAGGATTAGCGCTTCTCGCTATTGAATATCGAATCACAATTCATTAAATACCACATTTCCGATCAAAGTAAGGATTCGAACAGACGAAGTATAAATTCATCGGGAAATCCCGCGAAAGAACAGTAAAATCAGCGAAAGTTAAATCCGTCAGGACCGCGCATTTAGAATTATTCAATCAGGAAGCTCTATCCTCCGGGATAGAGCATATTCGCGTTAGAAAAAACCATAGTACATAATCTTGTCGAAAGGCTACGGAATATTAGCATTCGCTATTCCGATTAGACCTCAACGTAGAGAAGCTGTCAAAGTTGTGAGGAGACCACCGTGATCTACCTCAGAAACTTTAGTTATCGCCATTTTGTTTAATCTATTATCCGTGCCGTTAGTCGTTGAGTCGCACACAGTGCCATAGCCAATAGATAGGCAAAGCGCCACTAGGGCTAAAGAACCAATACAGGCAGATCCTCTGTAAATCACATACAGGTCAGAGAGAGATAGGGATAGAAAACAAACATAGGATGATTCCTAGACAATCCTTTTCCTACAATACCGACAATTGATTGAGACTGGGTAATTGACATCGATTATGAAACTGTTGTACCGATTATCGATTATTTAATAAAATTTCGTTATTTTATTTTACTGTACCGACCTGTGTCGACTAAATTCTTAAAGACGTCAGCCCCGAGCACTTACCTATATCCCATTTCGTACACTCATAAGGAGCGTACGAAATAGCACTATCGACGAATGTTACAGCATGTAGTCTCCACTGTTACAATTTAACATCATGACCAATCATAATATGCCTGTGCATATGTACAGTCAACCGCATTAATGGTGACAACGGTGGTTGCCGTGCGGTGAGGTAAGAGAGGAGATTTGGGAGGCCTCTGCTCGCATATCCTGGCCTATGCGTGCAACGCAGAAAGCACTACGGTGCGAGCGAGATGCCAGAGCGTCGCTCGGTGCGTCCTTGTTGCACAGCACTAGTGTAAGCGAGACGCCAACAAGGCCCCTCAAGCGCAATAGGGCACTGGGTGGGGGACTGCTCGTGTCCGAGCGCACGCTCTTGCTCTCTCTCTCTCTCAGACTAACGCTCTATGACGAGAACAGCTACTACCCCGATAAGAAACGAGAAGAAACTATAGGACTTTCGGTTGTGGAAATGAGATAGACTTTTTGATTATCCGTCTTCGTCAAACAGCGTTAGTAAAACAAAGAGAGATATATGCGACGTGATGGCTAGGAACAAGTGTCCCAGCGTCGCATTGTGAATAGGTCGCGTCCACGCATTGTGAATAGGTGCGACTCAGGGACCCATTGCCGTCTCGCTTATACTCGTACTGTGCGAAAAGGACGTACGGTAGGACGCTTCAATGCGTTAGACGCTGGGACACTTGTGCCTTGCCACTACGTCACATATATCTCTCTTTGTCTTACGAACGCTGTTTGACGAGGATGGATAATCGAAAAGTCCATCTCATTCCCACTACCGAAATACCCATAGCTCCTTCTCGTTTCTTATCGGGGTAGCAGCTGTTCTCGTCAAAGAGCGTTAGTCTGTGAGAGAGCGAGAGCAAGAACGTGTGTCCGCGGACACGAGCAGTCCTCCATCAAGCTCCCTATTGCGCAGGAGGGGCCTTGGTGGGGTCTCGCTTACACTAGTGCTGTACGACAAGGACGCACCGAGCGACGCTCTGGCGTGCCGTTAGTCGTTGAGTCGCACACAGTGCCATAGCCAATAGATAGGCAAAGCGCCACTAGGGCTAAAGAACCAATACAGGCAGATCCTCTGTAAATCACATACAGGTCAGAGAGAGATAGGGATAGAAAACAAACATAGGATGATTCCTAGACAATCCTTTTCCTACAATACCGACAATTGATTGAGACTGGGTAATTGACATCGATTATGAAACTGTTGTACCGATTATCGATTATTTAATAAAATTTCGTTATTTTATTTTACTGTACCGACCTGTGTCGACTAAATTCTTAAAGACGTCAGCCCCGAGCACTTACCTATATCCCATTTCGTACACTCATAAGGAGCGTACGAAATAGCACTATCGACGAATGTTACAGCATGTAGTCTCCACTGTTACAATTTAACATCATGACCAATCATAATATGCCTGTGCATATGTACAGTCAACCGCATTAATGGTGACAACGGTGGTTGCCGTGCGGTGAGGTAAGAGAGGAGATTTGGGAGGCCTCTGCTCGCATATCCTGGCCTATGCGTGCAACGCAGAAAGCACTACGGTGCGAGCGAGATGCCAGAGCGTCGCTCGGTGCGTCCTTGTTGCACAGCACTAGTGTAAGCGAGACGCCAACAAGGCCCCTCAAGCGCAATAGGGCACTGGGTGGGGGACTGCTCGTGTCCGAGCGCACGCTCTTGCTCTCTCTCTCTCTCAGACTAACGCTCTATGACGAGAACAGCTACTACCCCGATAAGAAACGAGAAGAAACTATAGGACTTTCGGTTGTGGAAATGAGATAGACTTTTTGATTATCCGTCTTCGTCAAACAGCGTTAGTAAAACAAAGAGAGATATATGCGACGTGATGGCTAGGAACAAGTGTCCCAGCGTCGCATTGTGAATAGGTCGCGTCCACGCATTGTGAATAGGTGCGACTCAGGGACCCATTGCCGTCTCGCTTATACTCGTACTGTGCGAAAAGGACGTACGGTAGGACGCTTCAATGCGTTAGACGCTGGGACACTTGTGCCTTGCCACTACGTCACATATATCTCTCTTTGTCTTACGAACGCTGTTTGACGAGGATGGATAATCGAAAAGTCCATCTCATTCCCACTACCGAAATACCCATAGCTCCTTCTCGTTTCTTATCGGGGTAGCAGCTGTTCTCGTCAAAGAGCGTTAGTCTGTGAGAGAGCGAGAGCAAGAACGTGTGTCCGCGGACACGAGCAGTCCTCCATCAAGCTCCCTATTGCGCAGGAGGGGCCTTGGTGGGGTCTCGCTTACACTAGTGCTGTACGACAAGGACGCACCGAGCGACGCTCTGGCGTCTCGCTCGCACCGTAGTGCTTTCTGCGTTGCACGCATAGGCCAAGATATGCGAGCAGGCGCCTCCAAAATCTCCTCTCTTACTTCACCACACTGTGTCCACCGTTGTCACCATTAATGCGGTTGACTGTACGTTGGAAAAAGATACCACTCTATTGTAAAGTTTCAAGCTGCTTGCTGCTCGCTTCTTGTTTCCCGCTGCTTTCGGTCTGAATGAGCCCTTAGGCTGCTTTCCTCCGGCGATGCTAGAGAAGGTGTCGTTCTCTCTACTGGTGGTTTCCTCGGTGTGACGGTGGCTCGGCGTATCCCATGTAATTGATGTATACACAAAAATTAGTCTAACCGCGTTAAGAATAGTAATCGGGACCCTGGAGTTCTTGGCCGGTACAGTCGGATTTTATCTCTCGATGGATGGTACTGCATCCTGTGATCAAAAGCACGCGAGTACCATATCGGGATTTCTGTGGCGTTAAAAATGAACGTCACAGTGCATACATCAATTTTCAGCCATGTTTTACAACACGATTACTTACAAACAGAAATTTTGTTTCATGTTTCTGATATATTAGCTTTAGCAATGTGAAAATTTTCAATGTGTTCCACGTGAAAATCTTGCATGTGTTTATGCGTGTATTTTATTTGTATTTCCATTGAATAAATGGAAATGGAAATAATACCAATAATTTTTAATTAGTGTTCCATATTGGGATTAGATAAGAATTGTTTGTTTACAATTTTTCTCTCCTATGTTCATACATATATTATCGATATATTATAAAAGAAGTAACACTAGAGAGCAGCATTATATGAAAACGCATGGCTATAACCTATGGTAGAATATACATGTTTTCCTTAAGGAGTATGTATTCTTTCTGCAGCTTCACCATATTACAATATGAAAACAATATGTCCGTATCGAAAGTTGTGGAATTGGGTTACTCAGCGTTTTTGAAGCAATAGCTACAAATTTCAACCATTTTAAAATTATTTTTTTGTAAGATTCTATTACAGTTATGATATAACGATAATTTAAAAACTACACAAAATTATACATATAATGTACAGTGCACTATATATCAAAAACTTCATAGTATAAGCCAACATTTCTAAATCAACATTTTTATTTTATTAAAATACTTTATTCCAATCTTCAACTGTTTGAAATTAAATAACGATTTTATTAATTCTTGCATTACTTATGTATTTTTTCGCTATAGTTTTTCTATTCTGGAATGGCATAAGATTACTAATAGGTAAGGTTGCCGTTCTTAACACATTAAAGGCGGGGGATCTTGACGAAAGTATGCTAGGTACTAATACGACTCCCGCATTTAAGCTACACTCGAGATAAATCGTAGTACTACGACTCCCGCCTTTAATGTGTTAATATCGTCTGTCAATTCATAGTGGAACTCTAAAATCCATTACAACAACGACTCCTCTGTATAAACTATTTACTGTTTGATCATGATTAAATGTTTGACTACATCAGAGACGTCAGGTAGCTGTAGTCTGTGGAGCAGGAGGTGGCGTCAGAGATGTCCAGCTTGTTTGATGATCCGGAGAAGTAGGATCCTGCCGACGAAAATGATGCGAATGACCTCGTCGATGATTTATCACCGACTCGGTGAATCTTCTTTCGGCATCACCAGAAACATCAACAGACTCCTCAAGATTATTTTGACTTTGATAAGAGATTTCATGATGTTCCTTAGTAGCCTCCTGATACTCATTTGCCGAGGTATTTGCGGTTTCAGTTTGTGGCGACTGCAGTTGCAGTAATTCTGAATGATGATGATTTGACGTCACCAAAGGTTGACCAGAATTATGATAATCAGAAGCATACTCGTGATGCGGCGTATTTGATCCGTTTGATGCAATTGGTGCTACTGATTCATTTAATGACTGGTACGATGAAATTTGATGATGCAAATGCAGATTGAGGTTCAGATATGGCTGTTGCAACGGCTCTGCTGAATGTAACCAACCGGAAGAGTCGCAATGACCGTGATTCTCATGGTTATTTCCGGAAGGTATCGATGGTACATACAGCGTGCACGGTGACGAGATAGTGTTACTTGCTGTTGTTGTCGTATTATTTGAGCTTAACGACGAATGTGCATATGATGATACAAATCCGGATGCGGGTGATGTTGATGATGCCGATGGCGGCGATGACGGCCATTCCTGATTGAGGCTTGTCAGACTAGTGGCACCACACCCTCCTGTATTTAGTGAAGTCAATGATTCAGGACTACGGGTTGGCCATCCCGTGGCTGCTACGTACGCTGCTGAGTGAAGTAGTGGCATTGGACTATACGGATCCACATGTTGCTCTATTAATTAAAAACATATTCCATTATAAATCACTAAAAATTACATCATTATTTATATAATTAGCATACATCCTTCTCAGGCATTAAATCCGTAAGTTAATACAATTTCAGTCATATAATGAAAAAGACAATTGTACCATTCTGTATTTATAGTCACGTTAATGGTCGACACTTTGAACATCTGATGTAATGTAAGTTTATTTCGCTACCACACTTGAACCTAAATGACATTGATAGTAGCTTGCTGAAATCGCCTCAACACTGCTTATCACATAGCGACGAAGAAAATGTAGCATCCCATTTAAAAAAGTGAAAATGATCTTGAAAACTTCTTTACATCCTTACCCTCGCAAAAAATAATATCACATTTTGTCCCCCTCCATACAGTACAAGTTTTGTATGAAACATTTTTTGAAATTATTACGAATATTATTATTCTCGTTGCCATTGTCGATATGTGTGCTTGGCATGAGACATTATCCAGTATCTTGACACAAAAATCTTAAATTATATTTCTTGTTTAACTACATTTTATAATAAAATATTAAGATTATTATATAAAAATCATTGAAATCTCAGAACTCGTTTACTTCTTTTCGGGTTCTAGATTTATAACATTTTTTACTGTAAAAATAACTGTCACGTATACAGTAGCTCACACATCGTTTTATGCAGTAATAATAATTATAATTTTCTTTTCTACCTTCTTGAATATATTTGTGGCGTAAACTGTAAGGGGCTGTTCTGCACGAATTCTTATGACTCGCAGCAGATACAGTACAGGAATTTGTTAAATTTCCTGTGTTGCTTGTTGCTTGACTTTGAGCCACAGTAATAGCAGAACCTGGATTGTATTCATATGCAATTGGTGGTTGTGGAAGAAACCAAGCACCCGTATCTGAAAAAAAATGTTTAGTGTGCACAAGTTAATTTGATAATATTTGAGGTAGCGGCAAAAATTGAACGTTCTTCACGACACGTCAGGATCTTTAAAATATAAGGATTGACATTCCTAGGTATTTGTCGAGAACTCTCAATTTCCATCATCCCCAAGAAGACCCACCACACAAGAACACCTCGGCAGATGTCGATTATATGCTATGCCTCGTCCTCGAGAATGAACTTGGAATTTTGGCCTCATGCGCCAGATGTCGCCACAGTTTGAAACCAAAGGGAAATATAACAACGCCTTCGTGGTTTCCCTCCCAATGGGCACGAACTACACTCTACATGATGTTTCTTATGGTCGATGTGGTCAAATTATTCAGAGTATTCCAACATAATTATTTCTTTGTTTCTATGAATTAAAAAATAAAAATTTAAAGTGAAGACACGGGGAAGGGAAACAAACCATAATACGAGGACCCGAATAACAGACTATAGCGAAAGTTCAAGGAAATTGAAAAAGAAATTTTTCAGTCACATGACAATTCGAAAAGAAATCCACCGACGAAGAAGGAAATCACACGAGTAGTCCCCCTCCGATTAAGATGAAATATTGCAGGATTGTGGAGTGGGCCAAAATATTCGACACGTATTTTTTTTTGATTTGCGAAATCCCGGTTTTATGAGGTAAGTGCACCTTTGAAAAATACTGATTTTAAAGTTTTTCGACTATTTTGCAAGGTTTAAATTGTAAAATTATTGCATTCATCGCGTACTACAATAATTATTTGTAGGCACATTATTTGTAGACAACGTCGATGGACGGTATACGTCATAGCATATTTAAAGAGGGGTTTCGTTCAATTGGAACGTTACTTTATAGACGCGCAAAGCATAAAAGATTAGCCGATACATGTTTTTTTATTTTTTCAATATCTCGTATTGAAAGGGTGAAAACTATCTTTAACTTCTTAGCTAGTATTGCCTTATAATTGCATAATGCATTTTACGATATCCGGCTACTTTCGTATCTTTTTATATCGTCGAATTACAATTAATCATTTATCCAAAGTAATTCATCCTATCACAGATAGGGCGAAGCACCCTCAAAAAAACATATTTTTCGTTTTTGTACTGTAACTTGCGAAAAGGGCGAGATATAAAATAGGTTCTAATGCCAGAAATATTTTTATCAATTACTAGACATTTGTGGTGAGAATATTTTTTTTAAAAAATAAATAAATTTGTGCAGTATTACTTTAAGAAGTGAAGGTTTAAATTATATTCCACCCATGTTCAAGAATAATTGAAACTTTGCTTAATGATGCACGATGTCACCTCTGAGGGATAAACAAAGTTTTCAAAAATCCCACTATTTTCGTTTTTTAGCTAATACTCGTGTACGGGATATGATAGAAAATAATTCAAGGACCAAAAATGTTTTTTTTTTTTAATCTTCGCGAACATTAACCCTTTGGCCTATAACCACGAGTTTGACTCGTGGTGAAAAATTTGTGCCATAAGCGAAAACCACGAGTCTGACTCGTGGTAAGGAATTGGTACATAAGATGCCGCGTATTATTCGAACAAGCGTTTGGAGTTATTTCACATTCAATACTTTTCCTTTGATTGTAACGTCAGTATTTTGTTTTTTCATTTGTTTTTGGCGGAACTGGATGATCTGTTACTTTAGTTCCCCGTAAAGCTTCGTTAAGTTCACACGTTTCAAATATAGCTGGGTATAAAGAATTTAGAAACTGTTATACCCATCATGCTAAGAAGAAGGAAATCTAATATTGATGGTAGTGGGAAGGAGTGTGGCACTATTGCCGATTGTGATTCGATACATCCTTTTCAATATAATAGTAAAGACAGTGATATTACGTTTCCTGTAAGAAAACGTCCACGAAGATTAATAATTGAAGATGATTCCGATGATGAAGACAGCACATTTGTACACATTTTGCGCCAGTTCAGGTACACGGCTAAACAGTTGAATGGCACGGCGCGCGACCGATTTTCTTGTTTACTATAGCTCGCGCAATTGGCAGATATCGTGTAGGCCAAGCGGTTAATAATATATAAAAGTAGAAAGACAGTAATATAAGTTGTGGAGTTCTGGATAGAAATTCCTGTACCCGACATTTACCGACATTTAAGAGCCTTCGAAGTTTCGCATCCGTGCTAAATTAACGCCGTGAATCCCCCTGATTTCGAGAAGTGATGTCACGGGTATCGCCGATTCCAGAAATATCGGGTAGGTTCTAGGAATTTTGCTTTGAATTCTAGGAATGTTGCCGCCGAGGAACTGCGAACGATTGAGAAGCTTCTAAAATCTTCTAAAAGCTTCGATAGTTCGCCTCCGTGCTACATCGCGGAGGATCGCTCCTAGAGCCTACGGCCCTTTTGCACGACGTTGTGAGACAGCCCCTTGCCCCTCATCTACACTCTCTCTTCCTCACCGACTTCGTACATGTTTCGGACGGCAACCTTCGACCGGAAACCGATTCGAACTCGAACGTTATCTCGCAGAATTACCCATCGAGGATGCAGTCCTCCGAAATGGAGGCGCGATTCCAAAAAATTTGACGGTATTTCGTCAGCTAGTCGATTTCAGAAAATTTACGAGCCTCCCAAGTAGGTTCGTGCGTGTTCCGATAACTCCCTCCCACCCCGGGTCCCCATACTAACTCCAGACGGCAGCCCTAAACTAGACATTGTTTTCACCTTGAGGATGATTTACGACATCCTTGTTATTCCGGGTATCAAATTACTCGCAGAGGATAACTGACCCCTTTGTGCATTTCTGAAAGCGCGTCGGCAAATTTTGGATGTAGAATTACTCTCGCACATCGGAAGCATCGGATTAGTCAAAGGAAATAAGTGTACAATCCTTGTAGGTTTTATTGCTCGAACCGATGCAAAACAATTCCAGAACTTCCCTCCTAACTCTCATGCAGATTTCATGCAGTTGAAAGACATACAAAAATTTGAAAAACTCATAATTTATTTATGATAGTATATTGTAACAAATACATCGAGCCATATTCAGATTGACATGATAAGATCTCGCGAACCCGAATAACTTTCCATACTAACTAATAATAATATTTCGGCATCGCATCTTATAACTCCTTCACATCTCTCAATTTAACTAGCCTATCATATGGGGGTATGTAAACGGCGACAAATCATAGCTAGAGTATTCTGCCACTTGCGTTAGCTAGGATATTTTCTAATAAGAAACGAGCAAACCGTCTTGGGCAAGCCGGCAAACTGACCTGCTTGACTACAATTGTAAATATATTTCTGACTATCGTAAAAACCAGCAAATCGTCTTAGGCTAGGAGTAAACCGCCTCCTTCGCCAGGTAGAAACACTTTCCGGATTTACACGGGACGTCACTTTGACTATTTGAATCATACAATGCCGCTCACGTAATACATGCCAACATAGTTTTATTCGAACGCTATATATGTATACACAACCAACTACTTTGGAAAGAAAGCCTTTCTTACATCTCCGTGATAATGCGTTGTTTGTGATACGGTCAAGTCAACCTGTGATCACGAGTTCCCTTGTGGAAGATTGCATATCAGCACGACGTTTTTCATCTAATGAGTCAACTCTTCCCGACTAGAAATTCCGTTCGGAGGGACATCAGGCCCGGACGTAACAGCCGGATTCTTAATTTAAAGCCCCGTTCAGGCTACCTTATATGGTCCTGATTAGTGATGTAACGCGTTGGTACATCAGGGCCAGATAAGATTTGCCAGGTAAGGACCTGACAAGGGTTGCCATTTCAGGGCCTGACATATTTTGCTATTCCAATTCGGGATCTGAATAAGAGACATCTTATCAGATGTACTTTACTTGTGCCTGATGTGGACACCTAAATGCAGTAATACCTTGTAACCCATGTAGGAAAGTACAGCAGGCCCTAATATTGGGCCAGCATCGGTGACTATTTTCGTAGTAATAGCTAGATTGGTTACTGTTAGGGATGTTCGATTCCGATTCCGTTCTTTAAAAGATCGATTATTTTGGTCAAAAAATCGATTTTTTAAATCGATTCATTGCTATTTTTGAAAGTGGCGCCCCCAAATATACATCTCGCTGTTCGAATGCGAATATATATCTCTCTCCTAACCGCTACGCGAGCCACGAGAAGGAGAGCTCGCTACCGCTCACTCATTTGTTACTCGTCTGAAACGACAGACCTTTATAGAAAGTGCCATTATTAAAACCGAAAACTAATTGTTTCTTTAAACTATTTAATAACATAAATCCTATACAAAAGAAAGTGAAGTGTCCTGTGTCTTGATTCGGCTCTACCTCCGCACTATTAAACGAAGGAAGTTTAATAGGTTATGGGCCCAGCACGCTTCCACTGCGCAAGACGTGGTTGCAGGAGGTGAAGCTATGGAGGCATCGAAAGTCGCCGAGAAAGCAAGTAAGAGAAAAATCGTCATAAAAACGAATTACACGCGAGTGAACGTTTGAAAGAATTGCGTTAATTCGGAAGTGCGTGTTTAACAATTTTTCGAAAGAAAAACGAACGAAAGATATCAGATACGAAAGTTTCTTGTGTACACACGAAGATTTTTCCGAGACACAACATGGATAGCTTGTCGAAAGTGTTAAATAAATATAATAGGAAAGACGAAAATCGACGGTTGAACGTATTTAATAATGTTGCAACTGTTACGTAGGCCGTAGTGGCTAGCGAGGCCTTTAAATTTGATAACAAAAATTTAGAAGTAACCAAAAAAAAAAAGAAACGACCGGAGGTAACGTGAATAATGTTTGAGTGAATTCCGAGCGGTAAGAATGCACTCAATGGTGGGTTCGCTGCTCGTTTAAGGTGTTGAAACACGCCTTGCTATTCCAACGTGGGCAGATATTCTCTGAAATGTTGAGGATGGGTAAGAGATATTTAAAAACGCGAGTAAAATGTGAGCTTACCATATATTGTTACAACCAATTTAAAAGTTTTCTATTAATTGTCGTGTACAGTGTTTCTATTATGAGAAATATCGGATAACAAAACCTAACTGTGTGTGAGGTTAAGGCAAGATGAAATTTGGTGGAACAGAAATCTATCAAAACTATGCGATATTCGGAAAGAGTAGTCTATGCAGCTCTATTTTGCCCGGTAACCGATCCAGCTTGTTCCCTAGGGTATGTAATAACGAATCCGTACCTAGGCCAGATTGCGAATACTACACTGAATCTAATACTCTAACGGTTAGAGCCACGAGTGACAACGTGCAGTCCGATCTTTTACGCGTGAAATTGAATGATTTTCTGAGCGTCTGTGCCATGATTTTGGCTGCTTATATAGTCGATTTTTGCTGATGCTCTAGGTACGGTTAGGACGTTAGGAATGCACTCGGCTAACCAGCTGGGTAGGTGGCACGGGCAATGCACTGGGTAACGTGCTGAGTCTGCAATTATGCTTCTCGTCGGCTACGTTATTCTTCTGTTTAGGAATGAAGGTCGATATACGTAACACAACATAAATTTTAAAATAACGTCAAAATTAATCGAACGAAATCTTACGAAAGAATAAAATCACGTGAAAATAAAATCATCGAAAGACATAATAAAGTCGTACAAACGATGCTCTCTTCTCAGAAAATCAAACGCCGGCCGGGACAGCTCTGAGCGAGCGCGTGCTCGAGTTAAGCCGTGCACATGTAGAGAGAGGAGAGAGAGAGACAGAACGAAAACACGCCCGGGCCGAATGAAAGCCTACGGAAGAAACAAGCGCGCTGAACGCATGTGTGTACTTATATATACACAAAATACACGAACGAAAGAAAGCAGAGTATATCTACTGTTACCGCGTATATCTATGGTGCTAATAGCTGTGCGTGTACACCTGGAAAGCTTGATACGTATATGGACGCATATACTATACGTATATGGACGCATATACTATACGTATATGCTTATGTGTGTGTGCATGCGTGTACAGATACACATGTGCATATATGCATGTTTATTTGAATTCAAACAAATGAAATTGTTTAAACATAATAAAATGAAATTTAGCTTTGAATAGAAAGTAAAATTGGAAGTTTAGTTTCGAAAAGAAAGTAAAATTGGAAGTTTAATTTCGAAAGGAAAGTAAAATTGAAAGTTCAAGTTAGAATGGAAAGAAAAATTGGAAGTTTATGTTTGAACGGAAAGTAAAAATTGAAAGCTTATTTTTGAAAGAGAAGAAAAATTGAAAGTTTATGTTTGAAAGGGAAGAAAAATTGGAAGTTTAAATTTGAACGGAAAGTAAAATCGGAAGTTTAATTTCGAACGAAAAATAAAAACGAAAGCTAAATTTCAGAAAAGAGATTTTCATTAAAAACAGATAAACTGATTTACACCTTACTCATTATAGATCGATCTACTCTGATCCTCTTCCTAAAAACTCAAGAGGAAATCTTGGGATTCAGAGAGTATTTTCCCAATGAGAAGGTGAAGGTGCACCTGGACAATACAAATATCTGTTTCACCACTGACTGAGAGTGGATTCAAAAAGGAAATCGGTATTTATCATTTTAAAAATAATAGCATGTACTCGCTGTTGCCTGATTAACTTGTGTTCAGTTGAGAGGGTAACTAGCGATATAAGTGTGAGTAAGTATTGTGGTTAATCTTGTGTTGGGATGCCATAGTACTGGCTCGTTTTTGTTTGATTGACTTGTGTTCGGTCAAAAGAATAAAAACATTAGCTGCTGCAGAAAGATTTCAATAATCTATTTTAAATATAAACATGTTTATTTTGGATATATCCGATATTTTTCCGATTTTAAATTCTTTAAAAATACACAATAAATTGCAGATAACTCCATGGCTACAGAAAAGGAGTTACAGCTGCTCGAAACGGAAGTGACTGAAAGACAAGCTGCAGGAGAAGAACTACTTCTTCCGTATTGTACTTCGGAAGAATATCAAGAAAAAGATCAATTCGAAAGTGAAGAAGTTGACAATCTGGGAAACGGAAAAATGCTTGAGACAAGTCCGGATGAAATTCAAATAAGACCGAAAGAAAATGTGTTCTCAAAGTACGTTATGAATTCGAACGAGATGAAAGGCTTAATGAAAGGTACCCCAAAAATCATAAATATCACAACAATAAGATCCTCGAAATATTTCCTCAACAGAGAAATTCTTAATAACACTCTGGATGAAAGTACGTCTGATTTACAAAATCAAAATAACGATACATTAAATTCCACAGAATTTGAGGACAAAGTTAAGGTTATGACCAAAAGTTTAGAAGTAAAATTAAAGAAGACCGAAAGAAAAGCAAATGAAGAGATCAAAAGAAAAATAAAAGAGACCGAAAGAAAGGCGAACGAAAATTTCGAAAGAAAATTGGCCGAGATGAATGGTATACTTGAAAGGACTCGAGAAGAGTTTGACAGTCTTGTGAAATATGGTAATGAAACCAGAAACTATGTAAAGGGAGAAACGTATAAGGTAGAAGCACTGGCATCAAAATGTCCACCACTGAAATCGTCCGGAAGTTCCAAAACCGTAAGTGATTCAAATAAAGAAGTCCCAAACCCACCGGTTAATATCGACGTTGCTAATGTAAATTCAGTAATAGTGAATGAAATAGAAAAACAATTTAAAGAGCGTGATAGGATTGCTAGAGACTCATTAGAATATAGAAATACTAAATTACATAGAGACTACAAACTAAATTCTCAAACAAAATTTGAATATTTCTTGGACTTCTTTAAATCTGAATTACGCTCTTTGAATTTGTTAGATATAATTGACGAAAGTGAAAACTCGGGTTCGAACGTTAATGAGAGTATTCTAAGACAACAAAAATACGATGTTCGCGAAAGATTGATCGGACGTTTAGAAATGAATTATTATTCAAAAGTTTGTGATATTGAGGAACCGAAAGAAATATTAGAAAAGCTCAAAATATTGAAATTAAGCGAAGCTAATTTAACTACTATGAACCTGCGGGAACAACTTTATAGTATTAAATATAATCCGGGTAAAGAAAGAGCTTCTGCCTTCTGGAATCGGTTCGAAGATATAGTTAGAACGTATAATTGTTTACCGGAAGTAAAATCCTTTACCGATGACGAAGTGAGAGATTTGTTTTTCAATGCAATTTCGAAAGCTTTACCGGATATTAAACACCTTAATTTTCTAAACATGCATCAACAAAACAAACCTCTGTCTTACGAAAGTCTCAAAAATTTTATAATACAGAACGAAAGCGAGACCGGAAGAACGCAAGCGTCCAGAAGTGCAATGATGGCAAACAAGTGTTATAATTGCAATGAGTTTGGACATTTAGGACGTGACTGTCCAAGGCAAGGAACGAACGTGAAGATGTGCTACGAATGCAGAGAATTCGTCACTCATCGAGCCGCCCAATGTCCACAACGGCTGGCAAATTCGAAAGACAGAAGGTATGAAAATAAAAATTATAATAATCGAGGTAGTCGTGGTAATAAAAGGGGTAGAGGCGGTAACAATTATCGCGGTGGTATAAAACGTTCGAACGAAAGCCAGAACTATTCGAATGCAAAAAGAAGCCGATTCAATAATAAAAGAGGAAGAGGTAATCAAAATAGCAATAATCGTGGTGGAAAACAGCAGAATCACAATAACAAAGAAGACAAATATCAACAACAAGATGAAAGTGTCATGAACGTTAATGGTGAGTACTTTGACACAATTACAAATAATGAGATCAAATCTGCCCTTAATGTCGAAAGAACGAACGTTGCTTACGAGAAAGGAAAATTATTGGTAAAATTCCTAGCTGACTTCGGTGCGACCGAACACCTTACAAACTCGCGCATTATTTTTAAAACATTTAACGAAAGAATCGATGAAATTAAATGCGCAAACAATTCGAAAGAAAGGATATTAAAAACGGAGGGAGTCGGTGATATTGTATGTAAAACGAAAGACAACAAATTGTTTAACTTAGAAAATGTTATATGGGCTGAAAACTTGTCCGAAAATTTGATCTCTTTACGAAAGTTTGTTGATCAAGGTCTAAGTGTTTATTTAGACAACGAGCGTATTGATATCTATGATCCAGAATCGAACGAATCGTTGCTGACTGGGATGTACGAAAGACCATTTTGGATTATAGAGATAGAAACCAACAACTCGAATGATTCTAATCACAAATTTGATAATGCCAGAGCATATGTAGTTACGCGAAGCATGGCAAAAAGAAAGGGAACTAACACAGAAATTGAAAGCACAAATGATGAAACGAAAGACATAATTGAAAGAGAAAAAGAGCCTGTAAACGAAAAAGAAAAAGAATTCGAAAGAGAAAATGAAAACGAGAACATAAATTTAAATATGGAAAATTGCTCGGTTTTTGATGTCACTGTAAGAGATAGAAATATAGTACCAGTTGATCAAGCCAAAATTGAAGAAGATCCAAGCTATAGCATAGAGTTCGAAAGTGCCAGGAAGCAAATTGTCAACAAGGCTATGCTATGGCATGTACGAATGGGCCATGCGTCATTTTAATACTTAAAGAAACTGCAAAATAAATATCCTGAAATTAAAGATTTGAAAGAATGTAAATTCAACGAAAGTATTAAAAAGTGTGAGGTCTGTTTAATATCAAAATTAAATAGACTGCCCTTTCGAACGACACGTACGAGAGCAGAAAGACCTTTACAAATAATACATTCGGACGTAATGGGAAAGATAAATCCATCTTCTCATCCTAAAGGATATAAATACATATCAGTATTCATTGACGACTATTCGAGACTCGCTATGGCCTATGCCATGAAAGCGAAAGATGAAACAGGTCATTGTTTCGAATCATTTGTAAAGAGTGCTCGAAACCTCTTGGGAAACGACGCAAAGGTGTGTTACCTAAGAACGGATCAAGGCACTGAGTATACCGGAGGTTATATGGTTGAAGTTCTCAAGAAATTGGGAGCCAAACACCAGCTAGCATGTCCGGATACTCCACAACATAACGGTACGTCCGAAAGGTTTAATCAAACTGTGCAGCGTAAAATTCGAGCGCTGATGTATGACTCAAAACTACCTGAAAATATGTGGGATTTAGCCTTGAGTGCAGCAGTCTATGCCTATAATCGCACACCACATGTATCGAAAGAAATGGTTTACCAATTAGAAAAATTTAATCCAAAAATCAAAATAGACTTGACACAAATCAAGCGATTTGGATGTCTGGCGTAATGAAAGTACAACGAAAGATTGGTCCGAAATTTAGATGTATTGGCTTTAGAACAATTTTGGTAGGCTACAAAGACATTGGTTATTTATTGATGAAACCTGAAGATGCAAAGTTATACGAAAGCCGAGACGTTAGATTCAACGAAAGATTTGTATTTGGAGACAAGTATAAGAAAGATGAAATAAATAACAGGGCCAATGTCGATGTAGAAATAAATCCAAGTAATTGGTTCACAAAATTTGAAAGTGATTCGAAAGAAGATAAATCGAACGAAATCTGTAACACAGAAACGGAGGGAGTTGGAAAACGAAAGCTAGGACGACCAAGAAAGAAGATTGCCCGAAAGGATCTGTCTTTGGCAGATGAACAAATTCAAGCCTTGATTGCTAACATGAATGGTGATCCAGCATCCTATGCTGATGCCATGTCATCGAGAGACAAAAACAAGTGGACTGAGGCAATAAATGAGGAATTGAACTCGATGTATAAAAATAATATTTGGAGTCTGGTGGACAGATCAGTAGCGAAAGATAAAGGCCGAAAGCCAAACATTATCGATTCACGATGGGTACTGAAAAGAAAGATCGAAAGTAACAATCAAATAAGATTCAAAGCTCGGCTCGTGATTAGAGGATTTAAAGATAAAAACATTTATGATTTACAAGAAACATATGCTCCTGTATCACGATTACCTCTAATCCGAGCAGTGCTTGGAATCATCAATAAATATAATCCCCCAAAAAACACTTACGTGTAAAAAACTATGCCAAGTAGAGGATTGCTGTGAATTCCTCTAATAAAAAGTATTGATATCAGATTATGGAGGCCAAGTACATAAGTCTCTACATGTTTGCCTATTATATGATCTAGCACTGGCCCATCATTTTAATTGTATTTTCAAAATTTCTTATAACATTTTCACTACTCTTTTACATTACTACTGCTTCCCGTAGTTGATTATGATTTAATGATCATTTAATAATTAATAAAACTGTAGATAATTCCTTATCGAGTACTACTTGGCGGGTCCGTGCCAGGCATTCCAAAGTACTTACTTTGAACGTACTAATAGTATCCTAAAACTATATGTTTGTTATTAAGCTCTTACCATGATTTTTTTTACGAGTTATTGTTAATAAGCTCTATATAGAAAGTTGACATTGGTTTTGAATTTAATGACTGGCATAATGAGCGCAAATCTATATCATGAAATGCACGGACCCGCCAAGTAGTACTCGATAAGGAATTATCTACAGTTTTATTAATTATTAAATGATCATTAAATCATAATCAACTACGGGAAGCAGTAGTAATGTAAAAGAGTAGTGAAAATGTTATAAGAAATTTTGAAAATACAATTAAAATGATGGGCCAGTGCTAGATCATATAATAGGCAAACATGTAGAGACTTATGTACTTGGCCTCCATAATCTGATATCAATACTTTTTATTAGAGGAATTCACAGCAATCCTCTACTTGGCATATCATGGTAAGAGCTTAATAACAAACATATAGTTTTAGGATACTATTAGTACGTTCAAAGTAAGTACTTTGGAATGCCTGGCACGGACCCGCCAAGTAGTACTCGATAAGGAATTATCTACAGTTTTATTAATTATTAAATGATCATTAAATCATAATCAACTACGGGAAGCAGTAGTAATGTAAAAGAGTAGTGAAAATGTTATAAGAAATTTTGAAAATACAATTAAAATGATGGGCCAGTGCTAAATCATATAATAGGCAAACATGTAGTGACTTATGTACTTGGCCTCCATAATCTGATATCAATACTTTTTATTAGAGGAATTCACAGCAATCCTCTACTTGGCATAGTTTTTTACACGTAAGTGTTTTTTGGGGGATTATATTTATTGATGATTCCAAGCACTGCTCGGATTAGAGGTAATCGTGATACAGGAGCATATGTTTAAGCACTGATATCTATATATTCATAGATATAAAATGTAAATGCATTATGATGTCGCTAATCAGAAAAATATATTGCGTCGTCGAAAATGTTTAATGGCATATAAATATAATTTGTAAGTCCCTTTTTTTTAGAAATGCATAAAGATATATACAAATTCTTAAAGAAAATGTAATCTTCAGTGCATATAAGCGTCGTTAATGGTGCACAGCTTGTTGAAGCTGAGTAGTAAACGTAAGAGAGGAAAGTGTGCTGGATTATTTACGTACCTCAGGCCGTGCGAACAACAGAGAGGATACTATTGTTTGAGCGAAGCGCCAAAGCGTCGCTCGTTGCACACTTTTCTGGACACTCTAGACTTCTACGTCCGACACTTAGGTACAAGAAACTACAGAGCGCAACCCTTGGACACCCTGGACTTCCACATCTAACACCTAGATACAAGAAACTACGGAGCGGAACACCTGGACACCCTGAACTTCCACGTCTGACACATAGATGCAGGAAACTACGGAGCGGATCACCTGGACACCCTGGACTTCCACATCCGACACTTGGACACATAAAACTGCGGAGAGGAATACCTGGACACCCTGGACTTTTACATGCGACACCTAGATACAGGAAACTACGGAGCGGAACACCTGGAAACCCTGGAATGTTGTGTATTAGTAAATTACTAACACCATACAGAGTACAAATAGGTAAAGAAGGTAAAGCAGTCAGCGCCATCTGTCGTGTAAAAAATGCGATGGACGTGCGAAGACGACGACGACGACGACGAC